TGACTTGGTGTGTTGGGAAGTTCAGCTTTTATTATTTATCCATAGACTTCAAAACTTTTACTGAAATGCAAGTAGGGGTGGGTGTGTTTTCTATTCAATTCTTCAGGAGGCAAGTGAGCCTCCCAAGCACCTAATCGGACAGAGCCCCTCTGTTAACTGCTTCAGTAATGGCTCCTGACCCCTCTGTTCCACTTTGTCCTTGGAACGTGCTTGCCTGTCAGGTCACTTGCATCTGTCCCCTGAGCTTATCTTTTTCCTTATGACTTCTATCTCATGGTGGTTCCTCTCTTGATTATGAGACATTTCTTTCATGTTATTTTTTAGGTCACTAATGTGAGGGCCTGTGTTCATATGCTGATTTTTTTTAATTCAAGAAATGGGTTTTTTTTTGTTTAAAATTCCACAGTCTTTTCCAATGCTCTACCTGGATATCTGTGAAAGCTTTTGTGACTGATGAGTCAGGGTTCTCACTGGCCGCTTCCAACAGCTCTACTTCAACTCCACCTGTACCATGTCCACCTGGGTCTGTCTTCCTTTCATTCCCCTGCGCCAGTTCTTTTTCTCACCGTGTCCTCGTGGTTTTGTCTTTCGGGAGTCGTATCAAGTCGTCGGGTCTTCATGGCTGGCACAGCAGTTTCTGACATCGGGCAAACTGGCAAATGTAGCTATTTATGTACAAAGATCTTTCTCTGAACAGTTAGGTTTCCCCAACTGTAAGGAAATCTTCCCTAACCTCAAAAACCAGGACCAGCTCAGCTCCAGACTGCACCTCCCCATCCTGGTCCTCCACTACTCTGGAATGTGCGCTGGAGTCTTTCTGCAAAGGGATTCACATGCGTCTTGTGGCTGAGCACTCACCGGGAAACACAGCACCCGGCCTTTCCCCTAGGCTACTCCAGCCCCTGCATCCTAGCTCCCACCCAGTGCAAAGCTAAGTACCATTCACCCAGGGAGCAGTACTCAAAGATCCCAGGGCAGCCAGTTTTCTCAAACACACCCTCCAGCTACTGCCAGGGTGCCCACTGATGAGGATTAGGAAGGAATATTCAAGTTTCCATACTTTCTCCCGTCCCGTTTTTCTGAAGCTCCCAAGTTTAGATCAGTTGAGTGAAGGCCCTTTTCAATTAATGGCAAGACTGGATGTAATACATCAACTTAAAAGAAACTATTTACTTTCGGAGAACAATTCAACATATACCCCAAATATATGGTCTTTTATTTTTCTCTCTTTGATCTATTATTCCATTACTAAATATCTAGCCTTAGGAAATAATTTTTTAATCAAAAAGTGTTATATAAAGACTTTCATTATTTATAAAGTAACAAACTACAAACAACCTAACTGTCCATCAGTGAGAGAATGGCCAAGTGAATTAATGACCCACACCTAATGAAACAGGCATTAATGGCTTGGAAAATCATGTAATAACATAGAAAAATACGTAGAGTCATCTGTGAAGTGGTAAAGGGCACACATTCATATGCATTAGATGACTCTAACCATGAAAATATATGCAAAAGAATTATCAGGCAAAGGAAATATACCAACGTGCTAACAGTGGTTATATACAGGTTGGTTGTGGGAATTTTTTTCAAATCCCTCCTTCTTTTCGTTTCCTGCTTCAAATTAAATAGAGGAGGTAATAAAATGGTACTGAAAATACTCTTTGTAAACCACACACACACCTGAGTAAAGGACTGAGAATTGATAAAGTAATTGTGACATGTAAATAAATGGTTTCTTCAGAAGGGGCTTAAAGTGCTTATTGACAGTTTTCTGGGGCTTTAAGCTCTATCTCAGCAAATGTTTTATGAGTAAACTCCATCTCAGCCCTCACTGGATCAATCAGCTGCTCAGACAAATCTCTTGTGAAGCTGTTTACCAGCCTTCCCCTGACATCACAAGGATACGGTGATAAAACAAAGTTTGACCTTGGGCACGAGAAAGCCCGGGTCTACAGCACACAGCCCAGCTTGGCTTCCCAGAAACCGTGTGGGGCAGAAACGCCAGTGGCACCTGTGGCTTAGAACCAGGGGACAAATGTGGAATTAAATAAAAGCTCGAAAACCAGCAGCTGAAACGGAATTGACACATACTCAGACAACTTCTCTTCCAAATTCCTTCACAGAGAAACAGCGTGGCATCTGGAACCCACACCACGCCTCTGCTCCTCTGCCACACTCTTCTGGCATCCCCAACAGCATGGGGCTTCCCCCGCCCAAGTCTGGGTAAACACATTTTCTTTTAAACATGGTAACTTTGTCTGCTGCCAGCGGCACCTAATTATTTACATTATTTATGCTGTTTCCAAGTTGCTCCCAGCAGCTTTGCACAGCAGTGCCTAGACAAATGCCGTCCGGCCGCCATCGGAAACCACTTCTATTGCTTGTTTTTTTGGTGAAATGTCTGCAAAAGGGTTTTATGTACACGGAGAGGCGGTGTTGGTTTCCTTTCCCCAGGCAACAGAATCCCAGCTCTGTCAGGGGGCCAGGAAGAAGTAAGCTGGTCTGAGTCAAGGGTCTGCAAACTTACTTAACTCCAGGCTTTTGCTGAAGGCCCAGGTTTTACCCTCTTGCCATCCTGCTCAATGAACTGATCCCACTAACTCCATATCTGGGAATCGATGCTAAGGAATTCATTCTGAATTATAGGAGGAAAAGAGTAACCACATGAAGATGATCATTGAGAGCTTTATAAGTGGATTCCATCTAAATGCCCAACATAGGAGGATGTTTAATCTATGGTCGATCAGCTTGATAGAAAAAATCTGTCAATCATTCAGTGCTAATGAAGATTAGGTAACAGCATGAAAAGTGCTTATAAACTTGCTTTAAAGCAGTGGTTGTTGACTGGGGATGATTTTTTTTTTTTACCACCCAGGGGACATGTGACAGTATTTGGAGATAGTTTTGGCTGTTATACAAGGGGCAGGAGGGTGGGGTTGCTACTGGCATTTAGTAGGTTGAGGTCAGGGATGCTGCTAAACATCTTACACTGCATTGGGCCACTCCCGCCCCAAGCTATGGTCTGGCCCCAAATGTCAGTAGTGCAAAAAGAAAAAATTACACATGTATGCAGACATTTGCATTATTACCACTATTATATTTCCATAAAAATGCATTGGCCTGGAAATGAAGGAAGCAAACAGGCCAAATGCTAGCTTTATCTACTCATCTCTTCCCCCAAATTATAAGACTATGTTTTCCACACAATCTGTGCTGTGTGCAGTGTAAAACTCTTTATACAAAATAATATACATTGACTTAAGTCTTTTAATGGACTTTTTAAAGACTTCAGATAGTTTTATTCATGATAAGTTGACAAATGCATCATTTAGTCTAAAAGAGTAGAAGTGGAAGACTTGCTTATTCTCGATAAGGACACACTGGCTGACTCAGTCGCCTGGCAAAGGGAGAAATTGATATAAACTTTAATGACCAGGTATTTCTATCACTGCAAAAATCACAAAATGTGATTTTTTGATCTGTAATTCAAGGTTCAAGTGAAAACTATAATTTTTACATAAATGCTGCATTTATTTTTGACAGCGCCCAAAGCACTACCATTTAAAAATTATTCCAAAATGGAAAAGCCTTCTGTCATCTATCTCCTTATCCTTTTGCAACGAAATTTCATCATCATAAGCTTACTTTTTACCAACAAAAACTGATGCCTTGGCTACCAGTGAGGGTCTAGGGCCCCCAACTAGTGTGCCTTTTAAGTCTCTACCTGTTTTTACTGCTTTCTGTCTTATTTTTGCATGCTCTTCCATTCCAGTGCTTCTAAAATGCTTTGGGGTGTAAAACTATCGTGGTTGCAAGAACCGAATGCAAGGGAAGCAGCTATGCAGAAAAGGCTAATGTTCACTCCTCTGAATTGAGTTCATGAATTTTTACTGCACAGACTATAGCTGTTAAGAGAAATCCCACCCCTGCCACCCTCCCTCCACATTTGGTACTTCTCAACTAGGTTCTGGAAGTTCCCAAATAGGCAACTTCCAAATCACTGTGTAGTTCTTACAGCCAAAAGAACAATAGGACAGGCTGTGACTTCTCTACCCAGAGAACAACCAGACTGAGAAAACAAGATGCATATCGAGGGCAGTGACCCAGGCCACATCAGCCTGCTGGGGTCTGGAACCATGGTCTCGCTAGGTTATACCACGAGAGCTGAACTGACCAGAGAAATCCCCCAGCCCATGCTGGGTTTTGTGGCAAGGGAATGGAAAGATTTTGGGAGATCGTACTGGCCACACATGAGGCCTTGCAAAAACACACACCAAGTGGGTTTCATTCTGTGGGCAAGGCCATCAAGAAGATTCTGAACCTCCAGAATCACAGTAAATATTCCATCAAACCCAAGACCTGAGCTATACCTACAGCTTGGTGCTACGTTCTCAGCAAGTTATCTCAGTCTCGAAAAGTTCAAGGAGGCCAAGCCCTTTCTTCTAGTCTCCCTAACTGGTCAATTAAAACAGGGGTTAAATGTCTTCAAGGCCTTGACAAAAGGAAAGGACCAAAAAGGCAGGCTTCTCCAATGGCAGGGAGAACCACAAGAGGAGTGCCGCCCAGTAGGGGAAGCTGTGGTCTATGAACATCCTTCCCCATGACAAGGCCTTATTGGATGCCCTCAGGCTTTTTAAGGGATTACCCAAGACCAACAGGCAGAGAAACATGCAGGAAGAGTGAATGTATCTAGAAGAGCATTGCCTTTGCCTGGCTTTCCTGAAATGAAGCTATGGGGAACTTCCAAAGAGCCTCACCTTTCCAACTACATAGCCTACTCATAGAATCATATGGCACTCTCCAAGAAGGATAGACACTGGGAGAAAAAACCGTAGAGGAGATCTGTCGCTGAGAGGAATTCTTTTTTAATGATGTAATATGTTTGGCTAGAAAACTCTCGATGGGTTTAAGCCCAGCAGCCAAGCATACTCATCACCCATGTCTACCCACCAGCAGATGTAGCTCAGGGAACCCCGAGGGGCTTCTCCACTCACCAGGACTGGCCGCATCTCACAGAAAACCAGGAGGGAAGCCAGCTCAATGTCTTCGCTGTACCCATTCTTCAGAGGAACAGATCTAAATCCTGTAGCAGAAAGGAAAAACAATGCAAAGGCAGGTAATTAATGGCACGTCTCCCTGACCATAGCTTTTTTGGGGGTACCCAGGGATCACATGCTTAGTCCAAGGAGCAGAGAGGTCAGTGCCCCATAGTGGGGCTGACTTTCGGGAAGCCAGAGGTCCCATCTTGATGGTTATGGAGAGGGGCTCCAGAATGCAGGCTTGACTGACAGGTCCGTACAGAAAAGGGGAGTTAAAAATATCTGCCAGCTAGAAATGAAAATGATTCACTCAGAAGAAATGAAAACCCACAGAACATTACACACTGAATTTAGAGTGACTGCAGCTGTGGTTCAATTCTTTAAATACACCAGAGGCCAAAGATTCAAAGGAGTAATGAATCCTCGCATCCATTTTCTCCACTTAGCCCTTTACAAAAAAGCATAGGCCAAGGATGGGGGGAGTGTCTTTAAAGATTTCCAATGGGAAGAAATCTTTCTGCCCCTTGGCAGTTCAGAGCCCTATTGATCATCCTCCTCTGAAAGCCATTCCCTATTTACTTAAATGTTAAGTTAGAGGAGCGCTGAAATAGAGCTGAATTCCCCTGACACCACCACCCATTAAGTAATGTTAAGGCAACATATCTCAGTCTGGTTTGTTCCCCTGTTTTAGTGAAGCGGTGGAAAAGAACACACGGTGAAGGCCCTGGCCGGGCAGCTCGGTTGGTTAGTGTTGTTCCGATACACCAATGAACGCATAAATAGATGGAACAACTCAATATTTCCCTCTCTCTCCCCTCCCTCTCCCCCTTTCCCCTCTCTCTCAAATCAGTAAATTTTTTAAAATACAGAGTAAAAATGGAAGCCTCACTCCCATTCACTCGTAATTCCTTATTCCACAAGGAACCACAGTGAATAGTATTATCTCAAAATAGCCTATGCATTTCAGTTTCCTTTAACATCGCAAAGGATAGTACTCTGACTTAAGCAATTCTGAACCTTACATTTTTCATTTTAAGCCTGTACCTTGGGGATTCACTACATGGCCCTAGGTTGATCTGAAAATTGTTTTTTTAATTAAACTTTTAAATTTAAGTAAATGTGCAATATTCTACTTAGTTATATTAGTGTCAGGTGTACAATATAGTGACTGGACATTTTTATACCTTACAATGTGATCGTCCCACTCATTCTAGTAACTATCTGGTACTGTGCAAACTTATCATGATATTATTAACTATTCCTCTTTACCTTTTTCACCCATTCCCCCATCATCCTCCCCTTCCTGTAACCCCTTTCATCTGTTTCTATGATTCTGGTTTTGTTTTGTTATTTTTTTAGATTCCACATATAAGTGAAACCACATGGTACCTGTCTTTCTCTGACTTATTTCACTTAGCATAATACCCTCAAAATCATTCCATGTTGTTGCAAATGGCAAGATTTCATTCCTTTTTATTGCTGCATAATATTCCATTGTGTGTATATGTATGTATCATACCTGCTCTATTTGTTGGACACTTACATTGCTTCCACATCTTGGCTATCATAAATAATGCTGCAATAAATATAGGGGTGCATATATCTTTTCAAATTAGTGTTTTTGTTTTCTTCATAAAAATACCAAGAAGTGGATCAAAAAGCTGTGATACATTTATACAATGGAATTCTACACGGCAGAGAGAAAGAAGGAACTTAGACCCTTTGTGACAGCATGAATGGAACTGGAGAGCATTATGCTGTGTGAAATAAGCCAGGTGGTAAGGGACAACTACCATATAATCTCACCTTTAACTGGAACATGATCAACAAAAGAAAACAAAATATAAATCATTGGTATCTTCATACTGTTTTTCCACACGGACCTTACCAACTTGCTATCCCATCCACAGTGCACAAGGGTTCCCTTTTCTCCACATCCTCGCCAACATGTTATTTGTTGACTTTTTTGATAACAGCCATCCTGACTGGTGTGAGGTGGTATTTCATTGCAGTTTTGATTTGCATTTCCCTGATTATTAGGGACGTTGAGCACCTTTCCATGTCTGTTAGCCATCTGTATGTCTTCTTCGGAGAAATGTCTTTTCATGTCCTCTTCCCATCTTTTGATCAGACTTTTTTTTGGTATAATTTTTTTTATTTTTTTAATTGAATACTTTATTGTTCAATTACAGTTGTCCATATATTCTCCCCACCCCTCCCCCCACTCCCTCCAAACCCACCTCCCTCCCTTGCTTCCACCCTGCCCCTTGGTTTTGTCCATGTGTCCTTTATAGTAATTCCTGAAAACCCTTCTTCTCACTGTCTCCTCCCCTGTCCCCTCTAGCTATTGTTAGATTGTTCTTAATTTCAATGACTCTGTTTATATTTTGTTTGCTTTTTTCTTTTGTTGATTATGTTCCAGTTAAAGGTGAGATCAGATGGTATTTGTCCCTCACCACCTGGCTTATTTCACTTAGCATAATGCTTTCCAGTTCCATCCATGCTGTTGCAAAGGGTAGGAGTTCCTTCTTTCTCTCTGCTGCATAGAATTCCACTGTGTAAATGTACTGTAGTTTTTTGATCCACTCGTGCTGATGGGTACTTAGATTGCTTCCATCACTTGGCTATTGTAAATTGTGCTGCTGTGAACATTGGGGTGCATAGCTTCTTTTGGATTGGTGTTTCAGGGTTCTTAGGGTAGAATCCCAGCAGTGGAATTGCTGGGTCAAAGGGAAGTTCCATTTTTAGTTTTCTGAGGAAATTCCATACTGTTTTGCACAGTGGCTGCACCAGTCTGCATTCCCACCAACAGGGCACTAGGGTTCCCTTTTCTCCACATCCTCACCAGCACTTGTTTGTTGGATTGTTTATTATTTTTTGTTACTGAGTTGTATGAGTTTCTTGTATCTTTTGGATATCAACCCCTCATCAGATATATCATTTGCAATTATATTCTCTCATTCAGTAGGTTGTCTTTTGTTTTGTTGGTTGGTTTCCTTCCTTGTGCAGAAGCTTTTTAGTTTGATGAAGTCCCATTTGTTTTTGTTTCCCTTGCATGAGGGGATATGTCCAAAAAGATATTATTCAGACTGATGTCAAATAGTTTACTGCCTATGTTTTCTTCTAGGAGGTTTATGGTTTCAGGCCTTACATTTAAGTCTTTAATCCATTTTGAATTTATTTTTTGTATATGGTGTAAGAGTGGTCCCATTTTATTTTTTGCATGTTTTTGTCCATTTTTATACCACTACTTGTTAAAGAGACTGTCATTACTCCATTGTATATTCTTACTGCCTTTGTCATACATTAGTTAACCATATAAGCAAGGGTTTATTTCTGGGATATTCTGCTCCATTGATCTATGTGTCTGTTTTTGTGCCAGTGCCATACTGTTTTAATTATTATAGCTTTGTAATATAGTTTTAAATCAGGGAGTGTGATATTTCCAACTTTGTTCTTCTTTCTCAAGATTGCTTTAGCTATAAGTTTTAGAATTATTCTAGTTCTGAGAAGAATGTCATTGGTATGTTCATAGGAATTGCATTGGATCTATAGATTGCTTTGGGTAGCACGGTCCTTTTAATGAGCATGGCATATTCTTCCATTTACTTGGGTCCTTTTCACATTCTTCAGTGTCTTATAGTTCTCACAATACAGGTCTTTCCCTTCCTTGGTTAAATTTATTCCTAAGTATTTTATTCTTTTTGACGCAATTGTAAATGAAATTTTTAAAATCCTCATCCAAGGATATGTTTATTGATTTGAGAGAGGAAGAGAAAGAGTAACATGGATGTGAGAAATATCTATTTGTTGCCTCTTGTACATGCCCTGACCAGGGATCAAACCCACAACCTCAGCCCTGACTGGGGACCGAACCCACAACCTTTTGGTATATGGAGTGGCACTCCAATCAACTGAGCTACTTGGCCAGGACAGGAATTGTTTTCTCTGTTTCTCCTTCTGATTGTTCATTATTCATGTACAGAAATGTGACAGATTTCTGTATATTAATTTTTATCCTGCTACTATATTGAATTCTTTCATTATTTATATTAATTCTTGGTGAATTCTGTATGGTTTTCTATATATAATACTGTGTCATCTGCAAATAGTGACAGTTTTACTTTTTTTCCCCAATATGGGTGCCTTTATTTCTTTGTCTGACTGCTATGTCTAGGACTTCTAATACCATATTGAATAATAGTGGTGAAAGTGGGCATCCTTGTCTCGTTCCTGCTCTTAGAGGAACAACTTCCGTGTTTTCACCATTGAGTATGATGTTAGCTGTGGCTTGTCATATGTAGCCTTTATCAAGCTAACATGAGTTCCATCTAAAACCACTTGGTTAAGAGTTTTTTTATCATTAATGGATGTTAAATTTTTTTTCAGCTTCTACTGAAATCGTTATGAATTTTATCCTTGGTTTTGTTGAATGTAATGAACCACAGTACTTGTTTTGGGGGATGTTGAACCACCCTTGCAACCCTGGTACAAATCCCACTTGATCATGGTGTATAGTCCTTTTAATGTACCACTGAATATGGTTCGCTAGTATTTTGTTGAGAATTTTAGCAACTGTGGTCATCAGGGATATTGGCCTGTAATTCTCCTTTTATGTGGTGTCTCTCTGGTTTTGGTATTAGGATTATGCTGGCTTTGTAGAATGAATTTGAAGTGCTCCTTCCTCTTTTTTTGGAACAGTTTGAGAAGGATAGGTACTAATTCTTCTTGAAATGTTTGGTAGAATTTACCTGAGGAGCCATCTTATCCTGGGCTTTTGTTTGTTGGGAATTTTTTTATATTGTTTCAATATCAGTGCTCATAATTGGTCTGTTCAGATTCTCTTTCCTCCTGGTTTAGTCTTGAAAGGTTGTATGTTTCTAGAAAATTTATCCATTACTTCTAGATTGTCCAATTTGATGGTATATAATTGTTCAGAGTATTTATATTTCTATTGGGTTTATTGTAATCTTTCATTTCTGATTTTATTTGTGTTCTCTTTCTTGCTTGATGAGTACTTATCCTTTCAAAGAACCAGCTTTTA